AGGGCAAGGCATTGGCATCCCTACCTCGACACTCCCATGTGTCCTGGGGCCAATCGTTATAGTGCTGAAACTCTGCGTGGGTCATGAGCCCTGGCGTCCTCCTTCCATCGAGCTCTTTCATCAAGTACTGTTCGCAAGTCAGACGATCTGGACAACTCCGTGTGCCTTGACGTCGTCTGGTGTGTGTGCGAGGGCCGATAGGTGCTTCCCTCAGTGCACGATCTCTCAGTTCTCATTCTTTCAGACTTGGAGTAACTAGTCTTGGAAGTCCTCGACTGAGTGTCGCCTGTTCTAAGGCTCCTACTTTGTGCTTGCGATGGGGTGACCTGTTGCTTGTTACGATCCTCTAAGTGGCGAGGGGGCGTGTTGCCTTTGCGCCCCTTTCCTGTCGCCACCTTTTTCCCTTTTATCTAGCGCTTCATTAACTCCATGTCTGCCGACATCCGCCTTATTAACTCGTCTTGTTCCCTAACGCGATCCTCCAGAACCTGGGGGTCCAACCTCCGCATCTGTCTTTCAGGGCTTTGAGAGCCACGGGGGCTGCTGCCCCGTCTTTCCCTTGCATCCCTCCGGGGGTTCTGTTGCTGGGGTTCTAGATCCGCCATGGGTAGGATAGAAGGTAAACCTTCACACGTCCCACCTCCCTCTGGGGTTTGTCCGTCAATAGTAGATTGCGGCAAATCTTCATTGTGTGCCATTGGTTTAATCTGGAGAGAAAAACTCGATCAAAAGGTTTTGTTCCTGCTATATTCCCACAGACGGCGCCAATTGTACGAGCACAAAATAATTCTTCTCGTATGATCCTGTTGATCAAGTTTGCGCTCCTCCAAACGTCGTTGCTTCACTTCTTGAAAACATAAACGTGAGCTAGCCGGCGGGTGTGTGCCGGATACCTCTCCGATGCCTAAGTCAGAAAGATAAACAAAAAGCTTTGTGTATTCGAGAATCAAAATTGTGTTACCTCTACATAGGTTCTGTTGTGAGCTTTTATAACTTTCGCCTGGCGCAATCCCAGTAGGACTCTTACTCCTCCATGTTGTGTCCTCCTAGGAATCACACTTCTGAAAGATAATGCTTATCCTTCAACACCCCCCTCACTGCTTAAACCAAGTGAGATGGTTTTACCCTGGTTGGATAACAGTATTACCGAGCTAATACTAGCCCTTTGTCATACTCAATCCAGTGACTTCACATGTACTGCATAGCTTGACTATTGTTCATTTGTACCTCAGTCTTGGCTGTTGAGACCGAGCTAACCATAGCAAGTCTTAACCGAGATAACAAGAGCAAGGTTCTCCACCAGAAGCCCAAATACCTCGGCTCCGAATACTATGACCGAGGTAATTATCATCACTTCGACCGTGGTGACCGTAACCATACTTGGACCGAGCTAACACTAAGGTCCACTTGCGAAGCCCTTTTCAACACGGCCTGTCAAACGGCCTATTACTACGCCTGGGCCTAGCTCGGCCCTAATGCACATAAAAACTCTCTCTCAGACACTATAACATTATCAATTTGAATTATCAAAATGAGTATCGTAATTAACTTATGGAGGCCTATTGACACTATAATATAATTCGTTTGAATTATCGAAATAAGTATGTATGGATCAGTGGGGGGCAGATGGTCACCTTATTTGGAGGGTAGAGGTAATGAGTCACATGTGTGGAGGGATATTCTAGATGTGGCGATTCAAACCCTAACTTGTTTACCTTTTTTTGAAACCAATACTAAGATCATTATTGGGGATGGGTGTCGAGTTAATTTTTGATTGGTAAGTTGCTAAGGGATGTGGTACTTAAGGAGGAATTTCCCAGATTATTCAGCCTCTCTACTGCAAAAGAAGGGACGGTTAGTATGTATATACAGTTAAGGGGTAATGCAGAGGAGATTTCAGGGGTGTTGAAGCTTAACTTTAGAAGGCATCTTCTGGCTTGGGAGGAGGAGGAGGAGAGCAGATTGTTGGGTTTATTAGGTGAACCCCCAAGATTAAAATTTGATTGTCCAGATTCTATAAGGTAGAGTGCATCCCCTTCAGGGCAACTCACTATGGTTGCAGCAAGAAATTGAGGTGAGTCTAAAAAAGGGCCAAGACTACTAATTCCTAAATTAATTTGGGGCAATGTAGCCCCTCCAAGAGCAGTTTCTTTGCTGGTTGGCATGAAAAGGTAGGGTAAAAACCAGGGGCTATCTTCATAATATTGGGATTCTAAGCTATAGTGTGGAGATTGTTTGGTTTGTATCTCAAGATATAATTTTTGAGAAATTTTTTTAAAATTTTGTTTGGTTTAAATTTTTTAGCATGGGTACTTTGAAAAACATGCCATACCTGCACCGGGTACTTACCGACGTATGGTACCTGGTATGGTACTTCTGTATACATACCGGGTACACGAAACATGTACCCAAGTTTTTTCTTCTTAATTTTTGGCGTACCCAGAGACGTATCTAGTATATATCCAAGCCGTACCGTACCTCAGTTGAAACAATATTTTCTTTTACCAGAGAGATAAAACTTCGTTCACTAGACTTCTTTTTTATTTTTTGTTTCATGCTTAGCATGATTTTAAAATTAAGTTATGGTTTGTAAGTTATTTAATATATTGACATTTAATTTTAATTTATACATTTACTTTTGGCATTATATGTTAATTATAGGTTGGACCTTAGCAAATTAAATCATTTAATTAATTTTTGCACTACTCTAAATTAAAAATAAATATTTTTTTTACAAGCATACTAAGCCGTATCCGTACTCTATTTTTTTTTTTAAATTTTACCGTATTGACGTACTTTTATCGTACCAATACCAGTACTCGTATCTGTACCCGTGTTTCATAGTCACTCTTTCTCCTACACATCAATTAATCACTTTTTCTCTCCTTCTCAATCACTTTTTCTCTCACATACATCTATTCAACTACAACAAAATATTGAATCATCCAAAACTCCAAAACTATTTTCCAAATATACAACCAAACAAATTAAAAAAAAAAATTCTAAACTCTCTCCTCAATTTTTTTTTGAAAATTTATCTCAAAACACAAACCAAACACACCCATATATGTGTCCTTTCTGTAAGAATAAAACTGAAAGTGTGAATCATCTTTTTCTCCTGTGCCCTCAGATTTGGATGGCATGGTCAGGTCTGCTTGAGTGGTGGGGAATTGATTGGGTGTCACTAACAACTGTTGCGGGTCTACTGTTTTGGTGCTTGGGAACTAAACATAGGAAGTGACTTTAGAAAATTTGGAAACTTGTTCCCTTGGCTATGTTGTGGTCTGTGTGCAATATGAGAAATGAGCATGTTTAAAGCACGTCAGCCAGGTATGGTGGAAGAGGTGGTTGAAATTGTGAAGGTGAGGGTGGCACTTTGGGCAAAATCTAATCTAAAGGACTTTCCATATTCAGTGCAAGAACTTGTTGAATGCCTAGACCAAGTTAGACAGTGCCATGCTAGGACTTGCCATATTATTGCTGCTGCTCCTGGTTGGGTTTCATTGTGGCTGTTTGGTTTTTATCTTCTTTCTCTTGGTTATGTTTTTGTTATTGGCAATCCCGTTGGAAAAACTCCATTTAGTTGTAATTTTATTCACTTTTTTTGTATCTATGACAATATGGGAGTTTAGTTGCGAATACGACTCGAGTTGTGCCTGATTAGAGGAATTTGTGCTGAAGTTCCGTATCTTGACTTGAGCAATCTTTGTTTGCCACTTCGCAGACTAAGCATGGGGATCGAGGGGCAGTGCCTTCAATACCAAGTTGTCTAAGTTCCTGGACCGCTCAAGTGATCATGTGTGCACTCGAGCGCTAAATGGGAGCATCCAGTATCTCGGCCTGAGTTTAGAGATTCTGGGAGATGTGTTTTACCGCTCGAGTGGTAAGTTTTGCGCTCGAGCAAAGTGACAGGTGGAAGTGTGTTTGCACCACCTTACTAGTCTCACCACTCGAGTAGTCTTCGCTGCCCTATTAGTATAAAGTACACCGTTTGCTACTTTTAGGGTTGAATTCATCCAGATTCTCAAAGAGGAGAGCAACTAAACGTATTCTATATTGGACGGTGTTTATATATTAGTTTTCTTGATGATTTGAAAGTGATCGATGGATTCACAAGCTTTATATTGACAATCATCAAGGGGTTGTTTTTGTTCTTTCATTCACAAAAAGAAAGAGATGTTTCTCGGTGGATTTTGGGAAACTTGTGCCTGAAGCTTTGGTAGATTTCGGAGTGGCTCATTGTCGTGGACTTGACATCAGCGTTGTGGATTCAACATTGGCAAAGAAATTCCGAGGTGAAGACAGTGATGGAAGAGGCGCATCGGGTTTGGTTCAATTTGAACGTAGATTTGTTAGGTAATTGAGGGTTTTCATGTGTAATTCGTTTGCCTTCTTAGTAGATTATTTTGTGATTTTTACCCGTGATTTTTTGTTAATCATAATTGGAGTTGTTTCAATTATGATTTTTTCCACGTTATATCGTTGTGTCCTTCCATTACTTGTGTTTGATTGGGATTGCTTTTCTTTGTTTAAAATTGAACCATAATCATAAATCATAATTTCGGGATTTTCATGAATCTTCTCTGTTTTTGCTAGTTGTGTTGGTCTCTCACCAACTTGGATGGTGCTATCATTTTGATTGTGCTGACATTCGGTACCAACTTAATTGGGATTGTCTATGATGATTTATGCACCTTCCTGCCTACTCTATTAATGTAACACCTTTGTATTCTTGGTTTTCATTAATAAAGGTTGTTTTTGTTGATAAATAAATTAAATAAATAAATAAATAAATAAACACTTATGGAGGTCAAACATTACCTCTAGTTACCGACCAGAGAGATGCCTTGCCCATTCTTTAACATAGAAGGCACGTTTTGTTTTAACAATGTTACATATTTCTTGGTGATAAATTTTTTGTCAAGAAGAAAATTATAATAAAAAGAAACAAACCTTGGGTAAAAATAATAATATAATAATAATAATAAAAAGAAACAAACCCATGTGTCTTCTCCACATGCCGCAGCATCAGCCATCTATATTCCCTGCAAGATGCAGATTACATTATCAATGGAAAGTGTGGAAGCATGGTACCCCACCCTCCTTATCAAAGCTGTAAGAAAAAAGATTGTGACCTCTAGAGGAAGAGCTAGAGAGCTCTAATGGGGTGTATGTCCCATAATGATATGATGTTTTTTATTTTTTATCAAGTCATTGAAGTTCTGTTTAGAATTTCAAAATTAGAGAAGGCATAATTTCTGAAGCGGTAATATGAGTACTTCTTGTTGAACCAAGTAATAAATAATGAACATGAAGATTATTATTAGGGAAATTAAATGATCCCTCTGCATGGTTTTTAAATAGGAGGAGGATCTCCTCTAAATTTTAGATTGGAGGGTGCTGTTATTTTTTTCGGACAATTTGCATTACTTATTTATTCATATGTACAAGTATTATTATTTTATCTTTTCTCAATCATATATTATTCTCAAATTTTAATTTTTATCTTTAGGGTCATTAAATTTCTAGTCGATGCGTATTTAAAAAGACACAGGTTAATATTTTTACATGACTAAAAAAATTAAAAAATAAATATAGATGTAAAAAAAAATATAATCACCTCACAATAAATTAAAACTAGTTGATAGGGAATGAAGGATCATAAAATCTTAGAATTAATTTCTCGCATTCATTAATGGTTAAATTTTATTTTATTTTTCTATAAAAGTTCAAAAACATGTGGAAAAAAAATAGGGTCAAGAAATTACATTTATATTTTGAAAAAATTATGAAAAATAAATAATAATTTCATATATATTTAATAGGGTAAATTAAATTTAGTGCATTTAAGGTTAAGATTAATATTGATAACCTTAGAGGAGGTAAGATTTTTATTTTACTTCTATATTTGAGGTCCATCACGGGCCCATTTCGATGATCCGGACCGTTCATTTTGTCGGATACTTCGTGTATTTCATCTATACAAAAAATTAGGTTGACCCGCTAACTGTAACTTGTTAATTTTTTAACTAAAAAAATAGATAACAATTGTGTTTTTTAAAATAAATTATACATTTTTTTAGTGACAAACGTAATAAATAGAACAAGTTATACTTATCCGACCGACCTAATTTTTTGTATGGATGAAATACATAAAGTGCCTGACAAAATGAACGGTTCAGATCATTGAAACGTGGCCCGTGATAGGCCTCACGGGCCCAAACAGCACCTTGGATTGGAGGGAATCCTCCTCCTTTTAAATAATAGTATTAGAATATATATCAGTGTCAGTGATATCATCTTTAATATATATGTATATAGATTAGTGAATTGTTGATTGTTAACTCATTATTTATATTATATCTCAACACACCTCTTATGTGTGGGTATTTTAATTGTTGGGTAGGTGACAGTGTTTGAGCACAAGACTTATTGCTTGCTCTTATACCATATTAAATTGTTGATCACTATCTCATTTAAAAACTTAAGTTATTATAACAAAAAATAATTTTATTATTTATAATATATTCTCAACACATGAATATATATTATCGCAAATCACACATTATCAACCAAATATTTGTCACCACTATGATATGTTGAAGAAAATTAGAGAGTTGATGTTGGGCTATGAATGGTTTTGTCAGGTTCACTAACCATTGGTGTTGTGCTAGTAGATGATTGGATTTATTTTTTTGGTGTCAATTTAGTTGATATTGTTTATCTTTACTTTGATACTTTATACACTCACATCTCTTAAGCGATATTTTGTCTTATATTTATGTACTTCGATTTTTATCAATAAAGTCTTTTTTTCCGATAAAAACAAATTCATAATATTCAATCTTTGCGAATGCTCACTACGTAAATACCATTAAAACAAAGGGAAATTTTGTAATACACAACTAAAAAGAGGTGTATCATATGTTCTTAGCCATAATCATTTATGATATTTGGTTATTAATTTATTATGGTATTGGTTTTGATTTAATTATCAATTAATCATATTCTTGAAATATTACTGGATCTAGAAATTGAGTTTAACTTTTGGAGCTGAATAGTAATGCTCCTTTCATATTCATTGCAAAATAATCTTATAAATTATTGAGGGAATTTCAAATTAGTGTTAAGCTAAAAAATAATTACAAATTAATGGTAAATTTGATCAATATTAATAATTAAAATTATAAATTTTTCCACACGTGTATAACAATTTTTTACAAATACAACTTGGTGGTAATTTTCCCTAAATTAGGGATACTTTCATGTAGGCCCTAATATGTGAACTTATTGTCTAATAGATCCTGTGATAATTAATGACATTTTTCATCCAGTACTATTAAAAAAAATCACTAATTGTTAATTTTCAATGACAATTTAAAAATTTTATCACAAAGAATGTTACTAATTATAAGTTCTAGCGACAGTTTAAAAAAATTGTTACAAAAAAATGTCACTAATTTTCAACTTTTAGCGAAAATTCAAAAAGTTCGTCACATAAAAATGTCACTTGTTATAAGTTTTAGAGACAATTTATAAAATTGTGACAAAAAAGTCACTAATTATTAATTTTTAGTGACACACAAAAATCGTCAAAAAAAATTATTTTTAACAATGATTTTACTATAACCAACTTTCAATAGGACTAATGAAAATTATGTCCAATTATTAAGAACTATTGATAGTATACCCACAATTTTAATTAGTTTAATCAAACATGGCCTAATCCAATTTACTTTCCCGGTTTTCATTTCTTTATTTCTATTGTCCAAGCCAAGAGTAAAAGGATCTGAAAAGAGGGAGGATCAAGGACACGCACCTCTTGATTTTGTCTTGGTTCCTTTGAAGAGGTTTTTTTATTATTTTCTTCACCTTTATGGATGGTCAAGCCGTAGAGAGTCTACCGGAGAGAGAACCCAAGACGAACTGGTTGATAGCAGGGGAGGGGAGAGGTCAGAGAAGGCCCCAAGACTAAGAGAGAGAGAGAGAGAGAGAGAGAGATGAATGAATTTATCTAGTAGGGAGCAAGACGCTGAAAAAAGGTGAACATTTTGGAGAGATATATAGTAGGACAAAACGAAGGGTTCATTGGAAAAAAATTTGAGTGTAATGGTGATCCTAATGACATAATATTATCATTTAATCATTTATTATTATTTTTTTAAAAATAAATGTGACATCCTACAAAAAGGATCATCCTTGGTTATATAAAATTTGTATTGGTTAATTATACAAACGTATCACTAATAACGTGGTATTATAGAAGGAATACGGTTTGGTCTCTCTGGATGAATAAAATCTCGCTACATGAAAGGATACCCACTGCGGCACAATTGTTGCATTATAATGTTTTCTTCGCGTTATATATGGAACTCTGTTAAAGGCACTAAATAACTTGAATAACTTGAAATTTAAATTATATATAAATATTAAATATATATAAATTATTAATTATTAGATGATAATTTAAGTTGTTAGATCATAATTAATATATATTATATACACAATAACACAATACAAAATCTTACCTTTCTATTTTTTCACTCAAAAATTATAAAGACTATTGTAGCGACAAAACAGTTATTCAATTCTTATCTCTCTCACAAAACCCTTATATAAATTATTTGATTTGATATTGTTAATAATTTTATAAAAACAAATATTAATAGATTTAATTTTAATGAATTAATTAACTTGGTTGCATTAAAAAAAAATTCAAATTTACTTGTAATTTACACAACTCAAGTAATTTGTCCTTAAGTCGAATTGAGCTTGAGGGGTTTGAGAGGACTTGGGTAGCTCTCATCACAATTCGGGTTAGGCTTAGACAACCTCTTACACTGTCCGAACCCGTCCAAGCTGCACTCCTAATTTTAATATAAATAATTTATTTTAAAACAAAACATCTATAATGATGATATTTATTTTTCAAAATGATATTATTACATCATTTTTATAGTAACTTTTTGTATGATTTTTATACATAAACCTTTTTGGTTTTTTTTGGCAAACAAAACAATAGAAAGGGGGAAAAAAAATACAGAGATGGAATGACAAAGAGAGAAGAGTTGAAAATAGAAAAGAGTCATTAAATATGGAAATTTGAACAGGGAAAATGTTTTGAACCTCTATTTTTTGATCCCTAAACCAACCTCTAGTGATGTCTCTTATGACACATCACTTGAAAATTCCACAAAAATATAAAATCTGTCTAATGATAGCTTGCCATGTCATTAGAGATCCCATTTAGGGGTCCAAAGAGAGTTGTATCATTACTGTTTGAAAAGTCATCAGTCTTTCAGTAATTATTTGATAATTTTAGGGTGTGTTTGATTAGACGGACTGGATAAGGGGATTAGAATCTATCGGATTTGAGTGTGAATCCCCCGGACTATTTAGTTGGATTGGATATGTATCATGTGTTTGTTTTTTCATGGGATTATATGTCTGGAAATGACTATTTTTAGTGAATCTAACGTTTGGTTGGATGGACTTGATAGGATAAATGACCAAAAGACCATTTTACCATTTTTCAATAGTTTATCATTTTGGAAGGGGTGGAGTTCTCAAAAATGGGGGCTTAATCATTGTTGTAAATGAATAATGCTTGGGACCCCCTTTTGGGGGTCACCCCCTCACCCCCCTTTGCCACGTGGCAGGGGGTGATTGGAGGAGCAGGAAAAAAAAAGAAAAAGAAAAAGAAAAGGTAACCAATGAGAGAGAGAGGGGGTCAAAGGGGGTGGGTGGAAAAGAGGGGATGAATCATTACTCTTCCACAAAAATATAAAATCTATCTAATGATAGCTTGCCATGTCATTAGAGATCCCATTTAGGGGTCCAAAAATAGGGAGTTGTATCATTCCTGTTTGAAAAGTCATCAGTCTTTCAATAATTATTTGATAATTTTAGAGTATTATTTCACACTATTTATTACTCGACAGTTGTCAAGTTATTTCTAAAAACTCAACAAAAATTATTAAATCTTATTGTTTTATTCAATGAACTAGTGTGTATGCTAGTGTCTACTGAAAATTATTTTGGCATTGTTTTAAATGAAGCTTGTTTTTTATGAATTTGTTAATGGCGGTGTCTTTAAGGCACTTATTAAGAAATTTACAATATCTAATGTATGAGAGTGTACAAAATAAAAATTGTACAGAAAATTAAATTTTATTCATTAGTACCTTTGAGACACTCACTTATCAATTTTTATGAGTAATGTCAAGCGCGCATCGTGAAAGAAATATTATGAAATGTTTCATTAAATTCTTTAGTCTTGGATTATAAACACAATAAAACACAACACACTAATCAACGAATAAAAATTTTTCATAAAACATTTCATAATATTTTTTTTTATTTATGAAACCTAATATTATTCTGGATTGAGTTTCTCAAAATTCAATCTATTATGTTTGGGTTTTTGGGACCTGCCATGGGTCTTGATTATTATTCGATTATTCGATTCATTTATTTTGTAAAACCTTTTGTGTATATCATTAATAAAAAAATAAGTTAATTCGATTATTTCTATTTTATGGCTTTTGTCTCAAAAAAAAAATAAAAATGAATAGTCTATTTTCAAATACACAATTAGTATTTTTTTTTTAAAACAAACGATAAAATAAATATGTTATGATTATAGGATCAATCTATTTTTTTGTTTTATTTTTATGAATAATATACATGAAGAGTCGTATAAAAAGAAAGATTTAGATTATTGAATAAAAAACATGATGAATCCTAATATAAGTCAAATTCAAATTTAAACTTGAAATTACGTAAGAAGAGGAGTTTTTTACCTATAATTGTGCTAAAATCATGATCCCCGCCCAAACTTGAGGGAGCGCGGCCAAATGTAATTTACCCAACCCAACTATACAAGTATTGCGTGCGAGGATGATAAGTTCTATTACTCTATTTGATAAGATCAAGTTTGGTAAGTTAAAAAAAAGTCAAAAAATTAAAAAATTATCACTATTTTTCAAAAGTCAAAAATTATGGCTGCACAACTCCACATCTAATTTTCTCCTACATACTTATACAATTTTTTAATACATATTTTTTCATAAAAAGTAAAAAAGTTAACCCAAACATTCATATTTTTTTCTTCAATTTTTTAGTCCAAAAAGACAAAAAGTGCACTTATTTAGGACACCCAAAAAATGAGAGAAAATTAAATGACATGGTGATTTTTTAGATTTTCTTATGAAATATTTTTTCAAAATAGTGAAATGCTAGCAATTGACCTGTACAATGTACGTATTTTGTTTTTTCAAAAAATATTTGATGATACAATGTGTGATATAAAAGAATAATTAATTTTAATTTAAAATTAGAATATGGTTTTAATTATTTATTTTGATAATATTGACACTATCGTTTTATAAAATTGTTACTTGAATACTTATATATATATATATATATATATTAATTTTAGTTAAATTATTTGTGTATTTTGATAATTTTAGTTCTATCGTATTATAAAAGTGTAATTATCATATAATAATTTTGTATGATATACATTAAATTCTAAAATAGTAAAATAAAGCTCATTTTGATATTAAAAATAATACTTAAATTAGAAGAAAAATTAGTAATATAAAATTAAAAGTAATTCTAACTATTTAATTTTCTTTTATATTCATTTGGAAAATAAAATATGTACAAATAACGTGCATAAAATTTATTAATTATATGATATATATATATATATATATATTAAATTATAAGATTGTAAAATAAACACTTTTAATTAAATTAGAATATCAACTATATAGAAGAAATTCAATAACGACTAACCAAGAAAGAATCACATAATAATATCTAAACTCAAAAGGAAAAAAAAAATGAAAACATACAAACGATAAATATATCTCAATGTGTAAAGTGATTAATCATTTGTATTATGATGTTAAATTATAAAAGAACTTACTGTTCAAAAATTGAAAAAGTAATTCAAGCAGTAAATCTAAACTTTAGAGGCTCCTCAAGAGTATCATTGTTGTGCAAGAGTTGCGATTATATAAAATAATATAGGAAATGAAGTAAAATTTCATATATAGAATCACTATAAAATTTAAACGACAAATTCATAAAAACTGATTTTATAGTATTATCATTGTTAGGTTTGTGTAAAACTCTATATATAATTAAAAAAAAATATATGACTCTCTTAAAAAAAAATAAACTTTATAATATACCACTTAAACATTAAAAACATTAAAAAAAAATTATACTACTTTTTAACAATATATATATATATATATATAGATGATGTCAAATTGAGGCATCACATAACTTAAAAGAAAATAATAATTTTCCTTCATAGACACGTATATGATGATGGGAGCAATGACTGGTTTTTTTAAATAGCAAAGATAGGGATCATGAAAAAACTTTCATGAAATTGATCATGAAAAATTTATGATCCTTGGATTACCTTGATTAATATGTGGTGTTTTATTTTAAGTGTAATCCAAAGGTCATAAATATTTCATGATCATTTTCATAAAAATTTTTTCATGATACCTAGCATTGCTTTTTTTTAAATTGTCCTAAAACTGTGTTAGGTGTCTGAGAAAGACATAAAAATATATAAAAATAACATGGACTTTGATTGATGATGGTTCTGATAATTTCATAATCTATTTTCTACAAAATTTTAAAATGACAATCACCTCCCCCTTCTAGTCTCATTTCACAAGCAACAATAAGTGAAAATGTAATATTACTAATTTGTCCCTATAGTTGGCTAATATAATTTTCATTTGGCTTGTCTTCGTAGCCAAACATCCTTAACCTCAGAACAATAATTTCTGTTTTCCTGTCCGAACATCTTCAGTTCTATCTTTTCTTTTTTCTGCGTTCTTCTTTACTTTTCCTCTCTGTTCTGCGTAGCGATGCGCTTTTGTTTTCCCTTGCATTGTTGCTTGAACTTTGTTGTATATTTCCATTGTTCTTCCATACAAGTTTCTTTTTTGCTGATCAAAAACAAAAAATCCTCATTCATTAAAATTTAGATGATCTGT